CAGCGAAAGAAAGGGGCCGGGAGAGGCGGGGCCCGCCCCTCCTTCCTCACTGATTGGTGGCTGCTGCTGTCCATCCAGAATCTATTTTTGATGGAGTGGGGGGGGGCCACCCAGGGTGCCCCAGATCACGTTTGCCACTAGCAGCCAACCAGTCGGGCCCGAGTCCGCGGGCAAAAAGCGATTGGGGGCGAGCGAGCTCGGCCCCACAGTCCCCCGTACGGGTGCCCCCCGCCCGAGCCCGAGGAGGTATATCCTGCCCCACCGGCCACCTCCCCTCGTGGAAGCAGAGCAGCGGCCTCGCTGTAGCGCAGAGGCGAGATGTAGCGAGCCGGGGGTCGCGGCTGGACGCTCGCCTTGGCTGGGAGTGTGGGGGGGCACGCCGGGGGCCGAGGAGGACGGCCGAGGAAGAGGAGTGATGAGAAGAGGGCGCACCCTGTCCTCCCCGAGACCACGGGCCCTTGCTGCCACTCGCCAGGCGCCCCCCTTCCTCCTAAGCGAGGAGCAGGTCAGTCCCCTTGCGGGGTGGGGGGCGGAGGGCGGGAGTCCTGGCTCGCAGCGCATTTGCTGAGTCCGAATCGGGGAGAGGCGAGGGAGGACAGCCGTTTGCTTCTCCCCCTCCGTGGGTTTGGGGATAGTAAAACGGGGCTTTTGTGTCCCCTTCTCAGGGCATCTTGGTTCCGTTTTTGCTTCTTTCATCCCAGGGCCTAAGGCCTGTCCGGAGTCTCTTTACTGGAAGGAGTGGAGTTAGGGACTGGCTTCCCTTCCTGCCCGTCTCCTTTCAGGTTAGGTGGCCTGCGTGGAAGACGGGACGAGGGAGGAGGGCCAAGTCTTAGCAGACTCAGAAAGTTTCCTGCCACAGGAGCAGTGGACTCCCTCCTGCTCAGAGGTTTCCTCTCGGGTGAGGGTCTTGGAAAGGACCACAGCCTAGGTTAAAGGAGCCTGGAAGAGGGAGTCCTGGCGGCTTGAGTTGACAGAGAGAAAACAATACTCATGGACCAGTTGCTGGAGCTGACCCACCCTTTCCCAAGCCGGAGTTGACTAATTGTGTGTTTGGAATACTTAAGGACCTATTCTTCTTAACCTCGGGAAATTCTCTTTAAAAGTATTTTTTCACTTTGTAAAAGCTATTCTGGTGAAATGGAATAGGGTGGGATCAAGGCCTGGGGACTCCTTTAGGCAAAAAAAAAAAAAAAAAAAGTGGGCTCATTACAGCCAAAAAGACATACACTCGGGAGCAAGTACATTTTGGTTTATGCTGCTTTGTTTCTTGTTTTGCTTGTTTTTTGTTTGTTTTTTAGTTGGTGCTTTTGTTTTTTAAGAATTCCACTATGTCCAACTCTCAGCAACCCTGGGGAACAGGGCGAACCGAGAGAACTGAAATGTGTGCATAACAACCAGTAGTTTTACCCTCTTTCTCTTCAAACTGCGATAACTCCCGTGTCCCTATCTGACAAGCTCACAGGGCCCAGAGCTGGGGGAGAGGAGCAGAGACAAGAGGCCTGGCTCCAAGTCAGCGTCTGAGCTTTTTGTAACACTGTTGACTCTCAAGGGCAGGAGTGGGGAGGCCTCTGGCTCTTGGCCTCGGGCTGGCAGGCTGGCCTCATTGCCCAGGGAGTCCTCCTATTTTTTTTTTTTCTCAGGGGCTCGGGCGCTTGGGAGTCTGGGGACCTTCGCTCAGTGACCAGATTCTCCCTGTTTAATGGCCCTGGGTGGCTGTCTTGTGATTGTGAACAATCATGTTCTACAGTGGGGTGTCTGTGTGGCTGAGAGTCTGTGCCTAAATGTGCAACCGACTCCCCCTGGGAGACCACATCTAAATAATCCCAGGTTCTTCGTGAGCATCCAAGAAGGGGTGTCCCCCAGGACATCCCTGCCCCCCCCCCCCATTACTGAGAAGACAATGCAAGGTCTCCTGCACAGCGTCTTCCCCGTCCCAGGCTGCTCACCACTGTGGGTGCGCCCTGTGGAGCGGTGGGTTGCTGATTGGGAGGGTGGCGGGGATGGTGCCTGCTGGGCCTCCAGATGTTGCCGTGCAGGAATGGGTCATTTTAATGGCCAGAACAAACTCTTGGTCTTGTGCCTGCTTTTGTGCCTCCCAGTACGAGCTGCCCTTTGCTGGATCATAACATTCTCTTCTTCTTGTCTTCCTCCCACATAAGGTATTCCACGCAGTTTCTCGTGACTTGAAGGACCGGGGATTCTGGGAGGTTCCAGGTCTTCCCGGGAAGGAAGGAAATCTCTGGAAGAAAGGTGAAAGACGACAGGCACTGCCCGGGGACCAGCAGAACCTGAGAAGCTGTGGGAAGCTTAAGGACACCAGCCAGAGGCGTGGGAAGAAGCCGCAGCCCCAGGCCCACGCTGCCTTCGGAAAGAACTGAACTCAAACCACTTTTCATGAAAGAAGGGCCGCCCCAGAGGTTACCCCACATTTGGCTGGGCTCTTCCACTCTGGATGTCCCCGCTCTGAGCAACCTGCTGCTGAGAACCAAAGAAGATAAGAGGCCTGATTAATTTCCCCCCAGCCCAGCGCTGGACAACAGGCGTCAGGCGTCTGCACCCCTAGTGGCTGGCTGCGGGGGCTGGTGAGGAGTTTCTGGTTCCCTCCAGCCTGCGGCTTCAGTGCTTGATGGGGCTGCCTGTTGGTCGATCAGTTTTTGCAGCACCTGGTAGGAGCGGAGAGCCGTGGGAAGAGGTCCTGCGGCACCCGAGCCTGGGTTCACCCCAAGACTAAGTTCTTTCCTGAGTTAGAGAGGGAGAGAGAAAGCGAAAAAGAAAAAGGAGAGAAGTTTCCCCTTCCTGTTTTCCCTTCCCGTCATGTCCTCTAAGTTGGAGCTGAAGGACATCCACCAGCTGAACGGGACTGGCCCTACTGCTTCACCCTGCTCTTCCGATGGCCCCGGGCGAGAGCCCTTGGCCGGGACCTCCGAGTTCCTGGGGCCTGATGAGGCTGGGGTAGAGGTGGTGGTGATTGAGTCTCGGGCCAACGCCAAGGGGGTGCGGGAGGAGGACGCCCTGCTGGAGAACGGGAGCCAGAGCAATGAAAGTGACGACGTCAGCACAGACCGTGGCCCCGCACCACCCTCCCCGCTCAAGGAGACCTCCTTTTCCATTGGGCTGCAAGTGCTCTTTCCCTTCCTCCTGGCAGGCTTCGGGACTGTGGCTGCGGGCATGGTGCTGGACATCGTACAGGTAGGACCGGGGGAGGGCAGCTCTTGACCGTGAGTCCCGGGGCCACGTTTCCTCCTGAGAAACGGCCTCTTGGCGCTTTCTCTCCACCTCCAGTCGGAAGCAGCTGCTGCTTCCTAGAATACGGTTTCCCTTTGGATCAGAGCCTCAGTTTCTTCTTGGTCTAGTTACTACAGACGCCTCGAGGAAGCCCAGTAGCCCCAGGGAAGTGGTCAGGGCAGTATTGCTTAACGGAAGCAGAATTGGTTCCAGAGCTCAGGTTGGAAGAGGAGCGATGGAATGGGGCTGTTGCCTGCCATTCCTCCTGGGCATTCCTGCTAAGCCCGGCTCAGCAGGAGACATTTCCATGGGTCTCCACTTTACGCTTTCTTTTCCCTTCCCTTGAGGTTTCAAGGATACCCATAGTAGAAAGCTCAGTTTCAAGTCTCCTTTCCATCCCCCTGCTGGGCAGGAATTTGCCTGGCTGCCAAGAGGGTCTCAAATGAAAAGGGAAGGTTCTTAAAGGCATTTTGTGTTGCTTATCTGCCTGTAACCTTGGCAAGATCTTGGGGCATAGGGTTGGGCACATGCTGTCTGTTGCGTGGTTGGAGGGGGGTGGCATGATAAGACATAGAAGTGCTGATTCTGTGACATAAATGGGGGTAAAATGTAACCAGGCTTGGGCAAAACTGTCTTTGCTCCTTACCTGTCTTCATGAACCTGCCTTGGACAAAGAACGCTCTTTTTTTTTTTCTTTATTGATTAAGGTATTACATATGTGTCCTTATCGCCCCATTGCCTCCCCACCCCCCAAAGAACGCTCTTTTTGAGACTACTGGGTAGAATTATGGATAAGAATTGGGGTCCTGGGAGAGCCAGGGATATGCTATATTAGTGTATTGTGGGTTAAGACTTACCCAAAACCTCCAGGTCCAAGAAATAGGTAATGTCTTTTTTCTAGATAAAAGTTTTTGAAGGACAATAAGGCACACAGAACTTTCTGACGATGCCACATTTAATTAAGTCAATCACTAGCAAATATTGCTGCTGAGTACTGGGCTTTGTCCTACGTATTCAGAGAAATACCAAATAGTGCGGCTGAAGGAGATCTGGCCTTTGTTTTTTTTTGTTGTTGTTTTTTTTTAATATGTTTTTATTTATTTCAGAGAGGAAGGGAGAGGGAGAGAGAGAGAAACATCAATGATGAGAGAGAATCATCCATAGGCTGCCTCCTGCACACCCCCTACTAGGGATCAAGCCCACAACCTGGGCATGACCGGAATCAACCCCAGGCCCCTTCAGTCCGCAGGCCGATGCTCTATCCACTGAGCAAAACCAGCTAGGGCTGCTCTTTAGGACCCATCAGTGTCTGTGACCATGAAATCTCAGGAGGATATGGAGCTCAGCATCCCTCTCCCGTGCCAAGCCAACCCTACAAATGATGCCTGTGGTGATGCAGAGTCCTCCTGATGGGTCTCCCCATGCTCTTGTCCCAGGAAACTGAGGGTAGTTGGTTCTAGGTGGTTCCTTCTTTGACTTGAGCCCTTCAGAAGAACCCTGCACCTTCAGTGGCTAACGAGGATGTTGTTTATGTCATGCCAAAGTGCCTTGTACTGCCTCCTCACCCCTAACCTGTTACCTTGAGAATTGTTCCTCATGCGGGTGAGGAAGCCAGCTTGGAGCTGGGAAGGTCAGCTTTGGATTCCCCCACAGTGGCTGCCCCTCCTCCTAGTGCGGTGAGAGTTGGGTAGCAGTTTCTCCACCTTTTCCATCCCTTTCCTGTGTCCTTGGTTCTCAGTTTTTAGAGTTTTTGAGTTCTGATTTGGTATCTACAAAAGGGTATAGAACCGGGGTTCAATGGTGAACTGGGAGAGGGTTGTCTTTATTTTCTGGATATTGGTATGGGGAGCATTTGCTGGGCTCCTCAAAATGCTAATCATCTCCATTTTGTAGATAGGGATCTATGGCTTAGAGCAGTTAGGTAACTTGTCCTTGGTCATCTGACTCCGAGCCTGACCATTAACCTCTATGGCCTTCACCATGGCCATGATTCACCAGTTGATTTAAGAGTCTGGGAGGAGCCCTAATCGGTTTGGCTCAGTGGATAGAGCATTGGCCTGCGGACTGAAGGGTCCCAGGTTCGATTCCGGTCAAGGGCATGTAGCTTGGTTTCGGGCACATCCCCAGTAGGGGGTGTGCAGGAGGCAGCTGATCGATATTTCTCGCTCATCGATGTTTCTAACTCTCTATCCCTCTCACATCCTCTCTGTAAAAAATCAATAAAATATGTATTTTTTTAAAAAAAGAGTCTGGGAGGAGTCTGCTCTCTTTGTCTTCCCCTGAAAAACAGGGTGGACTGAAATCTGGAACAATTGGAGTTATATTCTAAAACAAGCAAGAACAAAAGTTCTTAGAGGGCCCCCTGCCTTCCCTTCCCACATACTCTGAGAATTGTAGAGCTGGAAAAGGCTTCTGACATCTTGCCTCACCCCCATCCGACCCCCACAAGCCTGAGACATTGAGAGACCTAGGTAGGGAACCTCTGGAGCCTGCCCAACACACCCACAGAGGGCCGAATTTGTCCTTGGCGTGGCACCTCAGCTCGCTGCAGAATTAGGTCCAGTTGGTATGGATGACAATGGCTGGATTGTCCTAGTCGCCTTCCCCCAGCCTCCCTACCACAGCTGGGCTGGAGCAGGCCCTGCAGAGAGCTGAAGAGAGCATGGGAGAGAGTGGGTGCAAAAAGAACAGGACATGAGACCACATGGAGATTCTTAATCCGTATCCAGGGGAGCAAGAGGGGGCAACTGACCATCGCAGATTCCGGAAGAGCAGGGTGATGTCTAAGGATTCACACCTGCATTTCCATTTCACAAGCTAAGATAGCCTTCAGTGGGCCTCATCTGGGGGTTCCTAAAGACGGGGGCCGTGGGGAGGAGGTGGCTGTAAAGTGTCCCCAGTGTCTCAGGGCCCATGTTGGTGCAGATGTTTCCTGGGCCCAGGGCCCCCAACCTTTCCCCACTGCTGGGGAAGACCCAGTCTCTTCCTGGAAGGCCCATTTCTGTCTCCTCTTATCTGCCCTCCTCTCTACTCACTGTGTACAGCCAGCTCTGCTGTGAGATAGGGGCTGGCACACTGGCCAAAAGCAGGAAAAGGGTGAATGGACTACGATTTGCTCCAACTTCCCACCGTGGCTGAATGTTCCTGCAGCCCTTGGGAGGGAAACAGGACTGGGCCCAGTGTTGGAACTGAAGTGGATTGGGGTATGGGAACCTCCCTGCTGCACAGGCCTTGGGCCCCACCCCCTAGTTTGGTCCTGGCTGCTGCAGGGCACCTCACTCCCTTGTTCCGTTAGCCTTTTGAGGAATGGGGATGGCAGGAGGTGGTGTGTGCACCTTCACTGGAATTCCCAGCTGTGTTAAGAGGTCCTTATTGTAACGTACTGCTCACTCGCTGAGGATCCCAAGGAAAGGAAACCCCCTCCCCCAAGCACCGCCTTCTCTGGCTTCTCTACCTGCTGTGTATGTGGGAGCATCCACAAAGATGAGAGTGGATGGCATGCATGGGCTTGGACGAGTGGATTGGGAAAGGCATTCTCTCCTGACTGGCCTGCTCCCGTGGTGGTGGGCATTCCTGGGCATGACACTCGGTTCCATCTCACTTGCCCACCCCTTTCTCACAGTGTCCAGCTCTCTCTATCCTGGCGTTGCCCTGAGGCCCTTCTTGGACAGCTAGAGGACACCTGCAGAGTTGTGTGTGTAGCGGGGAGGGTGGCTCAGACAGGTGAATACTGGGCTTACTCCAATCTGATCTGCAAGGTCAACTCCAGCCCTACTTCCCAGGGTCTCCCTCAGCCCGTGCTTACAGCTTATCTCTACTGATTTTAGTCTTAATGTCCTCACTCCTAGTCTTCCTGGCTGTGACTTTCTTCCCCATTGCTACCCTCCAGGGGGGAGGAGGCTCAGGACAGAACACTCCAAGGCAGGCAGGGGGAGGTGAGGAGTGGAAGGACAAAGGAGAGGGACTGGCAGGGCCACTGAGGTGATTGCTCTGAATCAGGATTAGTTCTGAGCGTGGGGCAGGCAGTCTCATCCCTCACCCCCAGAATATCAGGGACCAGCGAGCCCCACCTCCATAGGAAAGAACTGGAAAAGGAGCTGCATTTCTGAGAAGCAGTGAAATGTGTAGATCCGCCTCCCCC